AGATAGAACCCGACGCCAAGTATCCATAATCTACCAGAATGAAAATAAAGAAGTCATAATTACAGAACCTTCCAGAATATCAACAATTCCTTTATTTAACAACTATCCTACCAAGTGGCTTATCCCAACTACAAACATCACTAGGCCAGACTTCCCAAGCCTCTCAATCTTTCAGATTGAATTCTCAGTTGCAGAAAACCCAAGAAACCTTGTGACACAAGTCTCAATTCTTGTGAACAAATCTCTCCAACAGCTTGACGAATTTTTAGACTTTCATAACTCTCTTTAAGAGATTTTTGCAAGAAACGGTCAGCTTAGAACGAAGTTCTTCAAGCAGTCCTAGCAAAAGGATGGAATTACTCCAAGCATATCCCCTGGAATATGATTCAAATCAGCAAAAACTTAAAAAAGAAAAAAACATTTACTCTCACAACAACATACCAACTAGGAAAAACCAATTAGCTACCATCTACATCACAAACTCCAAACATTGAAAGAAGTGTTTTGCTTCTTGAAGAAGAAGAAGAATCTCAAAACGATCCAATAAACAAGACAATCGCCAATCAGAATCCTCAAATAACCTCAGATCCCAATCAGAAGTTCTGCAGTCAAACTTACCAAATATATCTACTAATAAATCTCAACCATCTGTACAAGATATATACAAAAATGATCACTCAATATCCATCGATCTAGATTTTCCCATCCTAGAAGACTTAGAAATGTGCAACACCCTAAATTCATATATTTATCAAGAGAAAAAGAGCAAAACCAATGCTCCTTCATCAAACAATCCTGACATCTCCTTTATAACCATAACCTCACAACAACATACCAATTCAGTCTTTCTTTAATCTCATCTCCTTTCACCAATTCATGTCAAGACTCCTATGCATAGACAAAGAAATGCACACTTAAGCCTAACAAACAAAGGTGACAACAAAGAGAAAATAGAAACAGTCACCAAGAGACTATGGGCATATGAAGAGAACCTAATATTGAATGACTCTAGAATTTAAGAATACAATATAACAATCAATACTAAAAATGAGGACGAAGAAAATCTCAATATTTCCAACAAACTTATCATAGAACATCACAGCTAAAGATGGGTTTCTAAATTAAAGGTGAGGACATAATTCAAATGTCCCTCACTATTAAAAAAGTTTTTTTTAAAATATAAAGTTAAAAAAAAACTACCTACAAAGGTTTTTTGCAATTTAGGCCACTTGATCCAAGTGTTTTTTGAATTATGTCCTTATTAAAGTAATGAATAA